ATAACATATGTATGTGATAGTACAAATCTGATGATGTCTGCCTATACTTGTACAGAAATTGCATACCTAAACCCATGCAAATTTTCCTATGAAGAATTTTATTGTTATCAAAAAAATAAAAATAAAAGCAAAAAAAAAGAAAAACAATGGCAACTTTGCTCCCAACTTTGCCTCAAAAGTTCACAGACAAAGTCTATTCTTCAGAGCTCTGAACATAACCCAAAGCACTTCAAGGGTCCCTATTTGCTAGTTTCAATGATTACTTCTTGGACAAGAAAGTACACATTTTTTCAAATCAGACAAAAATAAATGGTTTTTAAGCCTCTTGCCTTTGTGGCTATAATCAAAAGAGCTTTGGTACTTTAGTAATTGCTGTTATTATAGTTTTTAGACCCATTACAATTAAAACCTCAAATAGTCAGGTCAGCAAATTTCACTCCATTCCCCAAAATCAAATTAAACTAATAACAAAGTTGCCTTCCATTTACAAAACACTAAAATAACTTTCTAACATACATTTCAGTTCTTAAATTCACCCCCAAGAAAGATGCAACTTAAAAATGACTGCAGCAAAATAAATCAATTATTTATCCCAATCATAAAAATATCACTGCAATATAATAAACTGGGCATGGGGGCACAGGCCTGTAAACCCAGAACTCTGGAGGCTGAGGAAGAAGGACTGACACAAGTTCAAGGCGAGCATAAGTTACAGAGTTCAAAGCCAGCCTGAACTACCTAGTGAGACCCTATATCAATAAATAAATAAATCATGCAGTTTACAGATGTCTAACATGCTAATTTAAAATTCAAGCTTTTTTTGAACAACAAAAAAATCCAACATCAAAGATGAATTATTTATTTTTAATACATTGTAAGCTCTTTAGGAGCTGTCCAATAAAGCACTTACAATTAGAGAAAAAAAAAAAAAAAAAAACCTAACATAACAGTAGGAAAAAGTCAACATGTTTATAATTAGAAAAAGTAAGATGATCTACCTATTTAGCTTTCAATAACTCAAGTCTTTAAACTCACCTACATGGGAGAGTCTTTTGGACAATACTTAACATACTGCCTCGTCTAAATTTACTACATTCTAACTTACACTAAATAACTTTACATTTAACTAAAATAACCTTAATATATTTTAGTAAAGAGATTATAGTTGAGAAAATAAGGCATTCCTTATATCATACATACATACATATAGATTTCCAACTGATACTTCAAAAGAGACAACAAATATTTCTTTTCCTTTAGTAAAACTACACTCCAAGTTAAAATAAGCACATATATACATATAATGATAACCTACACTGAAAACTTTTTAAAGATCCACACTAAGGTCAAGAAATAATAAGACTAGGCAATGTCAATTCAGTCATGGACATAACAACAAGATGCCCTGAAAGCGAGGCTTCTAAGTATCACAGAGGTCAGGAAAGACCTTGATTCAAGGGGCCTCAGGTCCCCTTTCCTCAATATCCCTAGCAAGATTCTTGGGAGAACCCAGGTTGGCTCTCAAGAGCACAGTGCTTTTACAACAGCGACAGGAACCCAAAACCCCTTGCCATGTCTTTGCCCAGAGATATGCTTAAAGCAAGAGATTACAGAAAACAAAGAAATACTTTAAGCTGTCTTTGTCAAATTTTCATTTTCAATCACACAAGCACCAGGTGAAAATTAAATTTCAATAATAAAAATCTACCTTATGTAAATTTATTTGCAGGACAGTAACTTGTACTTTAAATGCTTTTCAAGTTTAATTTAGTTACCTCTGCTTCTACATCCACATTTTGCTTCAAAAGTAACTTCAAGATATCAACGTGTCCATTTTGACTAGCAGCCTGCATAGCTGTGTGGCCAGCACATTGTCCATTTACCTAATTTAAAACAAAGTTTAAAAAGAATGAGTATAAGTTACTAATCAGAAAGACCCAATATACATATACAGTAAAGGTTTAAATCTAGTATACTGCACAATTCCATGAGAATAATATAAGTTGATGCTTCATAGATAACAATATAGGACCAGAAACTCTTTAATTCACAGAAGAGCAAGAATCTTTTAAGTGGAAATTTCATTGTCGACAGAGTTGTGAAAGGTTTATTTAGCCAATCTATAAAACTGAAAGAATAAATGAAAGAGGCAGGGGAAGCTAATTTTGTACATACTACACATGCACGTTTCTGTATTAAATCTCAGAGACCATGGCTAAATGAAAAAAAAAGCACTGAGGTTTTAACATTCAGATCTTTGATCCATTTTGATTTTAGCTTAGTGCATGGTGAGAGAAACAGGCATAGTTTAAGGCTTCAGGATGCAGAAAGCCAGTTTTTCCAGCACCACTTATTAAAGAAGCTATCTTTCTTCCAGTAAAAGTGTCTGGTCCCTTGTCAAAGACAAAGTGGCTGCCTGTGTTTGGAGTTGCTTCTGTATCTGTCTGGTTGCTTTTTGTTGTTGTTGTTTTGTATTTTCTTTTTTGTTGTTGTTGTTGTTTTTATCAATATGATGATTTTATCACTGTAGTTTTGTAGTATAATTTCAAGTCATGGACTATCATGATGCACAATGCCTTGCTTTTGTGGTCCAGAACTATTTTTGCTACTCTACATTTCTGCTGATTAAAAACTAAATTTAGTATTGTTTTCTCTAATTCTATGGAGTATGTTATTGGTATTTTGACTGGGATTGCATTAAATCTGTACAGCAATTTTGGGAGAATAGCCATTTTCACCATGTGGAGTTTTTCTACCCAAAAGCAAGATATATCTTTCCATTTTCTAATAAGCTCATCAACCTCCTTTTTCAGAGTACTATAGCTTTCAACAAGAAGATCTTTTACTTCCTTTGTTAGATTAAGTACTTCACTTTGTTCAATACTGTGAAAAGTATGGTTTTGCTAATTTCTATTTCACTGAGTTTGCTGTTTGTATACAGGTATGCTATTGATTTTTGAGTGTCAACTTTCTATCCAGCTATACAACTGAATTTGCTGGAGAATGTAAGCAAAGACATAGGTTAAGGCAAAGACATAATGAACAAAATTCTACTGCATGGTAAATATTACAAAGAATTAATAACTGGAATCTCATCTTTTTTTGTACAGCAAAAGAAATCACCAATAGAAAAAAACACAAACCACACAGTGGGAAAAACATTTTCCCAGCTGTTCCTCAAAGACTAATATATAAAACAATGCTAAAAGAAAAGAAAATATGCTGAGAGTCTATCTCATCCTAGTAAGAATGGCTATTATGAAGAAATCAACTCATAACAAATGCTGGGGCTGTGGGGAAAAAGAACTCTTCTTCACTGCTGGTGGGAGTGCAGACTGGTGCAACCACTGGGGAAATCAGCATGGAGATTTCTCAAAAACTAAAGCTAGAAGTTCCATTTTGCCCACCTATTCCTCTTCTATAAGAATAAGAAACATCACAGCATATATATATGCTGTTTATAGCAGCACAATTTGTAATAGGCAAATCCTGGAAACAATTCAAATGCACATCAACCAATGAATGGATAAAGAAGACATGGTTTTTGCTATACAATGAAGTATTCCTCAGCCATAAAGAATGAAAAGCTTGGGGGGGCTGGTGAGATGGCTCAGTGGTCTAAGGCACCTACTTGGAACAAGCTAAGCTAAGCAAAAGCACAGCAACCACGGTTCAGTCCCCAGCACCACATGCCAGCCAACCCCGCCCCCTGGTGGGCTCAGCTGGCCACACGCAGCGCACGCGCGCGCGCACACACACACACACACACACACACTAAATAAATAAATTTAAAAAAAAAAAGAATTAAAAGCTTGAGACATTTCTAGCTTAAAGGACGCATCTTGCAACAAACTTTTAAGTGAAAAGAATCAGACACACATGTAAATACTGCATTGTTTCCTCTTGTGTGAGAAACCAAAGCTATTAATAAGGACAAAAATATATTAATAGATACTGTGAAATAGGAAAAAAAAGTTCAGATGGGAAGGGCAACTCAGGAGGGAGTGAGGAAAAGAACAAACCAAATGAGAAAAGAAGGGAGAAAAAATGGAAATAAGGCTCATATAAATAAGAAGAGAGACTGAAGCAAGTAGAGGGGAATGGGAGAAAAAGAGGAATCAAAATATTTCATGTACAGGGCTGGGAAGATAGCTCAGTGGTCTAAGCGCCTGCCTGGCAAGTGCAAAGACGCAGGGTTGATCCCTGGTACTGTATGCCATGCTGGCCCTGGAACCCTGGGCTGCACAGTGCAGACCACTGAATCCATGTGTGGTGGCACATGCCTGTAATCCCCGTGCTGGGAAGGCTGGACAGGAAGATCACTATTTTTTTTTTTTCATGCATAAGAACAAATTCCTAATAGTCCCAGAGCCCAGGCCCGAAGTGTGAATGAAAGGACCTGGGGCCACCAGATCCTGAATAGACCCAGAACGCAGGCAGGCCTAGAGAGTGAGTGAGACGACCTGGGGCCGCTGGATCCTGAATGGACCCAGAGCATAGGCCCCGCGTGGAACCCTTCAGCAGAACGCCCTGAAAAGAGGCTAGAGGAAAGACCCACCCAGCTGATTCAGGAGCAGAACATCTTGCCAGAGTGGCACAGAGCGTTCAGCTCCAAGGGCTGCAGCAGGAAGAAGTGGAGCACAGCAGCCAGATCCAAGCAACACCCACCTGGAGAAATCTGAACTTCGTAGATCCGGACCTGGTGCTAAGGTAATAATTCTGTCTAAGCTCTACACCAAAGGTCAGAAGACAGTGGTATACAAAATGACAAAGAGAAGGAACAAAATGCAGTCTCAGGCCCCGAGTCCACCCAGTACAAATGCAGAAGACACTAGCATAGAGGAAACTGGAAATCACACAACTGAAATCTCTGAAATGACAGCATTGGAAGTAAAGAAATAACTGCACAAAGGTATAGAAGAAATCAGATCAGAAATAATTTCTAAACTAAAAAATGTAGTGATAACTATAATCAAAGAAGTACTAAGTGCTTCTAAAGAATACACTGATAAAAAAAAAAATAGAGCAGAATATAAAATTGATGGAACCCCTGAATAAGCAATTTAGGAAAGAAAGAGAGTGTACGAAACAGATTCAAAGTGATATATAGGAAATTAAAACCTCAGTCACAAGCTGGCAAAACCGTTTGAGTGAAAGTAAAAATAGACTTTCTGACCTTAAAGACACCATTGCAGCTAGTGAAAAAGTAAGAAAAGATGTCTTAAAAACAACTAGGATGCAGGAAAAAACAATTCAATACCTGCAAGACGATGCAAAGATGAACCATGTGAGACTAATAAGCATCAATGAGAAGGAAGGAGTCAATACAAATGATATAAAAAGAATATGGGCAGAAGTAATAGCAGAAAACTTCCCAAACATGGGGCAACAATCTGACATTCACCTAAGCGAAGCATATAGAACTCCAAATAACATCAACCCAATGAAAACCACACCCAGACATATAATACTCAAGATCCCAGAAACTCAGCACAGGAATGGTACACTAAAAGCCGCTAAAGAAAAGAAACAGATCACATTTAAAGGAAAACCCATCAGAATAAGGGCAGATTTCTCTTCACAAACCATCAAGTCAAGACGAGCATGGAGCAAAGTACTTTAAGTCTTGCAAGAAAACAAATTCCAAACCAGACTGATATACCCTGCAAAATTCTCTTTCAAGTATAATGGAGAAGTGAAATACTTTCATGAAAGAACAACTAAAGAATTTCATGAGGACAAAGCCAAGCCTACACAGACTATTAAATGATGTTCTAGAGAGGGATCCAATTGATCACAGCCCCATGAATGAGAATGCAAAGAACCCACCATTTGTATTGACTCCTTCCTTCTATATAGGGCAAACAATTAAACACAGGAGAATAAGAGGTACTCTTATAAGAGAATCAAAGTTATTCTAATAAAAGTTTCTAATATTAGGAGAATATATCATATGATGTCTTTTAAATAAATTGTAAGCCAAAGATATAAATCTTAGAACAAAAATTAATATTAAGCAATATTCAGAAAATTAAATATTAATTAAAAATTAAGTGTTTCAAAAAAATTAAATGTTTCAAAACAACTGAACTATGAAAAAGTTTTCATGATAGCAAAGAAGTACTAAGAGTAAAACATAAAGATAAATACTGGAATGGCAAATAAATGACCAGCACTTCTAACAGTTAGAGGATAGGATATCGCATAAAGTTCTAGCATGTTGTGGACATGCATAATGACCATGACAGTTACTGGTGGCCAGACGTCACTTGTGGAACAGCTATTTCTTTGAAATCCACTCTGTAGACTCAGATGGAATCATGACCCATAAGGTGGAAGAGAAGTCCATCTGTAGAGTGTGCTGATGGAAATATTTTGCTGCTGAACATAAAAGAATAACTGAAAGACTACTATTATATACCTCTTATTCTCCTGTGTTTAACTGTTTGCCCTTTTTGGTGGGTTCTTTGCATTCTCATTCATGGGGCTGTGATCAATTGGATCCTTCTCTAGAACATCATTTAATAGTTTGTGTAGGCTTGGCTTTGTC